TGCGCAACATGTCGCGGTTTACATTCCCGCACAGAACAACTCTTTGTGTGATCCACATATTGCTGTGTTCCGGGTCTGGGTTTCATGTGTATGACGGCGCCGCCGTCATTATTTTGTAAACTGCGAATGTAATGGGCAAGCAGTGAACAAACAACTGACCGACGTCACTTCAACCCCACCACCGAGTGATATATAAACCAGCGCAAGCGCAAGCTCGAGTCGTTCGTCAATCGTTGCCCAGTTCACACGTTACGCAATCGCTGAGTAATTTTATTGTGCACTGTCGAAAGTAAACGTTACTTTAATTACGAAGATTTAATTGTTTTATTACTGCATAAACATACCTCTACCGATATATATGACGAAGAGGGTTCTCGCTTGACATCGCCCACATCATCTTTCCGACATGTACATATATGTGAACTTGTATATTTGTAAACGCACCCACGACACCGGAGAAAATCATAGTATGTGGCAACAGTTTCTTTTTAATTATCATTAAAACCCTATAAGAATAAGAAAAATGATCATCTTGGCCCTTATAATTGTAAAACATATTCTCGGAAAACCCAAGCTTTTTTCCTTTGCGATAACAAAATAAATAGCTGTAAAAACAATAACTTATTCCCGCACCATTAGCCACATTGTACTCTCAATTTAAGCTGAATAAGGCTCGCCATTAACGTGTTTTATTTTTGTGTTTAATATAAAAAGTTAACAAATTACGCCGACCGGCTAATCTGTATGTAAAAATGTTCAGCACATCAAGATATAAACATACTTTAACACATTTTCAACTGTACTGTGAATGGTATAAGGTTGAAACTCTATTAAACGAATTTGAAAGACTGGGGTAAGCTGATATGCTGGTTGTTACAAATTGGACGTGCTGTGAATGTAGAAACTAAATTAATGAAATCCACCGGTTTTTCTTTCTAATTACTTTTACTCCTACGAAGTTACATGTAGGTGAAACTTAATAATGCTGTTATGATAAAATACGGAGTTATATTTGTACGTGCTATTTTTATCTTTCTTTCGCGTAGATACTGAAGTGTAACAAGTAGGTATCTATGAATTATTAATCGATTTTTTATAATACAAAGAGCTGATTTGAAGCATATTTAGGTATGGTCTGTGTGATAACTGAACGGTGACTAAATAGGTATACAACTTATTATTTTACCCCTATGTACTAAACACTTTTTAATATACATACCTATAGTAAAACTTATCAAGAAAACTGTAATCAAACTCAAAACCCGACATTAGAAAACCGAATCTATAGGTACGTAGGTATATATTAAACTGTCAAACACCAACCGGTCACCGGTGACCGCAACCTATTGTTCTATAATTGTGTCTATAAAGACAGTACTCGACGAGTTAAAAAAACTCTGTTGACGAAATTCAAACAAAATATAATACGACAAACCATTTCGACGAAAGTCTCGTTGTTAAGCCAAATGGCGAACACTCATCCTGCGATTTATAGTCGCCGATATGAAAAGTCAGAAAAATATCTGACATTCTAAATCGCAAACGAATAGTCCGAAATGTCGTTCGTCTTTACACAAACACGGCAATCTATTTTGGCTACACAAAAGTACTACGAAATTGCACGGTTTATGGTGATCTTTTAGAATAACAAACAAATTCATTTTCGTATTTTTTTTTACAAAGAACTTTGCCCCACTCTCGGATTTTTTCCTCCGTCGTAGGTGCATTTACAAACATACGAGTTCACATACACATGACACCCAGACCTGAAACTACAATCTATGAATCACACAAAGGGAATCGAACTCGTGACTCTTTACCCCACAGTCGCATTTGCGACCACTGAGGCAGAATTAAATCAACTTTTAAACAAAATGATTAATAGGTAACCAAAACCTAGCCATCAAGTATCGTTTACCCAACTTATCTATTTACTTGTACTTCTCAGTATATCTACAGCATAAATATAACTATGATATTATCCACGCCAATCTTAGTTAAATAGTTTTTCTTGTTCAAACTGAAGTACGCGAGACAGATAGTTATTAATCTGAGATCAGTTACAACTTTACTCTTGAACTTTATATTTTCTTGTAAAAGGATCACTATTAGATTGATAGGGATTTTTTTAAGGGGAAAATATCATCGAATGACTTTTCCCGCCTGGGTGAGGCAGGAGGGAGTGTCAGACTCTTACTGACTAGAAACTACCCCGTTCCTACTCCTGCCTTTCGAGCCGGAGCCTCGCCAACCCGTTAAGTCCTTGCGGTAGATTTATAGGGTTTTTTTTTTAAGGGGGGAAAATCATCTAATGACTTCTCCCACCTGGGTGAGGCAGGAGGGAGTGTCAGACTCTTACTGACTGAAAACCTCCCCGTTCCTACTTCTGCCTTTCGAGCCGGAGCCTCGGCAACCCGTTAGGGTTTAATCTTTTGACTATAATCAAATACCAAACTCAAAAGCAAACACATAATCTAAATTGACCTAATATTTACCTAGTACATGAATTTGGCCCCAATTTCAACATTAATTTACGCAATCCCATCCCTTAATTGGTTAAATCTAGACCGGACATCGTCCTATCTAGACAGCTAGGTAAATACTATCTCTGTACCTAACTCACTGGCGTTCGTCCGCTAAACTGGATTACTGACTTAGTGTTTTACTAAATCATGTCAGTAGCTTTGTTTATTGTCAAATGTAAAAGCAGAAAGTCTCATGTTTATTTTAAAACTATGCATTGACTTAAACAAGTACCGCGATGAATAAAGGCCGATTATTCAGCCATTAATCAAATAAAATTGACTTTTGACAGTAGACAGAAGAATTGTCAAATATTCAAAGTTACTTCTTCGGTTAAAAGTATCCTAGTTTTAAAAAAAATCGCCCTAAGTGGTCATAAACGCAATCGCTGTTGCCTTGCAATTGCAAAGGTGTCTAGTTCGATTCTCAGGCCGGGTATCAATATCACAAGATTGTGCCTAATGCAGTAATGGGCGGTGACTCACAACATCAGAGATCAACCAAAACTGCATGTTACTTAGTATTTGTGTACCTCTACTCACCTCTTCGAAGCTTTAAAAGCGTGATATAATAAATGTTGCAATGAATCGATACATAGAGGTATATTCCATAAACTCACACATCAAAATTGAATAATATTATAGCAACGAAAATCCATTAAGTGTTTTAACGTATTTAATCAAAACGCAAACCCGTAACGCAAACATAACTTGAACGCAAACTTTCAACGTACGCGTTTCAGTGACAGCTGGAGAATTCAAAGCACTTTGTAAGTTAACTAAGTATGAAATAGTATGAATATCCAGTGGCAAAACATGAAATTGCTGTCAGTTTGCTGTTAACTCTTGCAAAATAGTGTACGTTCTTGAGTAGCATTAGTACTTGAGAGTGTACGTCTATGATTCTAATAAAACTATTGTATGTATTGAAAATGAGGACCAAAAGACCAAAAAGCAATTATTTTCTTTACGCAAGTTAGAGACAGAAACTATAGATTTAATCAAATAGTTGATTTGTATTAAAGAATTATAGATATCACAGCATAATTATTTTGATACGAGTCGCGCAATGTAAGTACCTATACCAGTATACCTAGTTAATTTAGTACTTCGTCAGTCAAATACTACCTATATTAATTTACACATCACATTCATTGAAATTTTGTGATTTTTTATATAAACGTTGCCCCTGCCCACAGTTACACTAAGATTTTATCCTGTATCGTGGATGCGTTTATAAATACATACATGACACCCAGACCCGAAACAACATTTTGTTGATCACATAAAGAGTTGTTCCGTGCATTCCGTGCAGGAATCGAACCCGCGGCACATTGCGCGGCAGCCAGTTGCCCAGCCATCGCACCAATCGTGCAGACACCATGCACTGCCGTGCAGGCACATGATTAGTCAACAAAAAGTGGAATAATATCAATCAAAGCATTCAAAGCCCATATCGTGCAGTAAATCTAAATATAGAAATCACTATAACAAATGTATTTTTATCAATAGCAATAATTTATGACGTCAAAAACAGCAAAAAGGAAAGGAAATAAGTTTGACACGGAATAACTTTTTCCAATTACATTCCCATTTGGCCTACTTTTGAAACTAACTTCATTTGTTTATATTTCCCTTATTGATTGCATGGTTGCTTTTTTCTTCTTCCCACGCCACACGAAAGTGTATGTATGCATAATATATTATTTTTTATTGAATTAAAATAGATATAAACAAGATTCAAGTTAAAGCATAAAGAAGAGAGAAGCTTCATGATAGACAGGTCTTCTCAAAGTAATGGTTTATAGCTGTCAAAATTTAAGTAATTATTCCTATAATTAAAAGTTTTACCGAAAAAAATTCTTAAGGTTTTATTTCCAAGACGTCATGTTTTAGAACATGTTCTTTTCTTAAAAGCAATATTACCAAACCAATATTTACTTTCATAATAAATCAAATATGTGTCGAAATTTATGTACACACGATACGTAAAAGCTACCTATGTCCGTGAATTTAGCTGTCCCCAAGGACCACGTTTAGTTGCTCGCAAAATTCGCTTCGACACTCCCGTTTCGCAAAAATATGTCGAGAAAAGTGAATAATGTATTGAACGGAATAAAGTTATGTGGCATACTTCAACTTTTAAGCTTGATTTACTTTATACCTGGCCAGTTGGAGCCAGCATTTTATTCGAACTTTATTTTAGATTTCGAACGCCAAATTGGCGGAATGAGGAATATTACATTCATTGCATTCATACATCGGGCACAATTGGAATATGGAATGCAGCTAGTTGTTTTAGAGCATATGTATGAAACATATTTAGCGTTACATATTTAGGTACTAATAATACCAGATATTATCTGTGAAATGTGAATATTTGAATGGCATAAATGATGTGTTATGAGTAATGAGAAATTCCCTATCTATTGATATAAACGATCTGCGTCAAATATATACAGATTAAACTAGACTTACCTAAAAAACTCAACAGCAAATACGTGCAGATCTTCATTTTCCCGGGGTTCCTGTAAAATAAAGAAAGTAACGTTCAATCTTTTCGAACTACATTAAGCTTGCTCGTATTTAAAGAAATAAATCTTGAGTAAATATTCAGTGAGAGGTGATGCCGTAAATTATTCTTTCAACATTAGATAAGGCGGTGTATTTTTACGTCGTAAAGTAAAATGTATTCAGCTACTACCTTTTAGAATTTTCAACGACGATGTCATTGTCTTGTTCAATTTTTTTTTAGTAAACTCGACTTGCAAAAGAGTATAAATGTGACTTTTGAATCACAATAAGAAACTTAGTAATCGCAATGCACACTAACTAATCTCAACTTAAGTAACAGAGTATAATAATATAATTACAGGTTTTTATTTTTAAAATGAAATAATTTTCTAACTTCAGAACACTTCATATTGATTGTGGTATACCACCCAACCAAATACAACAACTACATAAAATACAAGCACAATTTTAATAGCACAATTACTATACAACGTTTTACACTACGATAATACACGACATGACACAATACATAAGGAGTTATTAAAATATTATTTACGAAAATAAACACACGCCCACTATAAATTCTTAATCACTTTAAAACTAAAGCGTAAACAAGTCTAAGGTCTAGCCTCTTGTAAACTAACCGAACAATGTTTCTCAAACTTCTGAATTGTTTAAATATAAGGGACCCTTGATAACCTTTCTTGTGTAAACAAGCTTATATATAGGTAAAAGTTTGTATCAAAGAAGCTAATTATGTACCTACTTAGCTATTTTTATCCACCTCTTACTGCCTCTCATAATATCAAAAGTTACTAAGACTGTACTGTTAAGTACTACAATTTTTGCCCTTATGATCGTTCTTGTTAGCCAAGATTTGTACCACACTAGAGCTTTTTGAGCGCTTGAAATTTTAATTGTAACAACTTGATACTATAGTTGTAATTGCTTTAATACTATAATTATTCAATTTGAAAACGAAGTACTACAGTTGTACTACCGGCATTAAAAGTAGAAAAGTACACATTTTAATTTCATTATCATCATCATTCATCATATAGAAATTAACAATTCATACCTATTATTTGCTGATTTTAATAACAAAACGCACCTAACTAATCTAAAATCGACATAACAGCTCAAAATAAACCTGTATAAGTCTTATGTATTTCACTCCACTCAAAATTATTATCGCAAACCCAAAAGGACCAAAATGCTGGCCAACAAATTATCGGGTACAAGACATCGGTCCTTTATCACGACCCCTTGTTAGGAGTGACTATCGAATTGGAAGCCAGTGACCTGACTAAGTGCTAATAGGAGATGGGAAAGAGGATTCCAGCGATGAAGATGATCCGGTGCCACCCCCTTACGTGTTCCCCAACAATTTACTTATTGATTTACAACTTCATTGACTTGAGGACCGGTTTTTGGTCCTTCGGGTGGCGGAATTTTAAGTGGTTGGGGATTGTGGTCCTTTGTAGTGACGGTTAGTAGTGTCATTATATTAATAAATATGGATACTTATCACGTACGTGAGCTATTCATGAAAACAGTAAATAAGATAATTGTCTTGCTTAAAATGACACCATCCGATTTCATAACCTCTTCTTTTTGTTTAGAAATCGATTAGTATTACTAACAACCACAGTACCAATAAAATATGATTACTTTAACTTAATCATCCAAAACCACTCACTCAATCACCCATCAATTTTGCTTTACAAGCTTCCATTGTCCTATATTTTCTGTATAAGACTTTAATTCAATCAATTGCCAATTGATTTAATGTAGTGTACAAACAGTACATTTTCGTTAAGCACGCAATGGTCGTTACGTCATTATGATGATTGATATGAATTGAAGCACGAACGTTGATCCTGGCTGTAATTTGATTATGCTGACACATACTAGGTGTATAATGAACCTAATTAACGGAGATAGTCATCTTAATAGGTAACAGTTTATAGGTAATTACCTCACTGTTAATCAATTTCATTTTGAAGTAGAAATTATGTTGGTATTGGAATTCTTGGCCTCGATTTGTTTACTGTGGGTAATAGGATCGTTAAGTAGTAGGAGTAATAAAGCTAGTCTATTTCGTAAAATGGTAGTTTATTTTATGTTATTGGATGTTTCTTTGAGATGGTGTTAAATTTATTTCGTGTTTTTATAACAACTGTCGTGAGACACACGATATAATAGGCTGCGCGACATTACCGCGACCGCACACGCTGCTCATTTATTTATTTATTTACATTAAAATGAAAGTTTACAGCGAGAGCCCAAAATACTTACATTCTAGGATACAATAAAGAAACTTAAACCTGTAAGAATATTAATCACTTAGTTAGTTCCTATATTATTGACATTTATATTTTAAAACTTATAACCACCTTTAGGTACCGTAGTAACTCGGGATTTTTTCCACCTTAGAGGATATTTGGAGGTTATTATGGAAAGGGTATAAATGTATAACAGTGGTTTTAGTAGTACTGCTAAACAGTCCTTTACTAAGTATAGTGGAATTCCATCTGGGCCAGCAGCAGAGTGACATTTAAGACATCGCTTCAGCATTGTTATGGTCGAAGTATCTTTTCTAGGCGACTCCCACGTCTAGTCTGGGTACTTCTTCATGAAAGATAGAACCAAAGTAAGCAGCAAAAGCGTCAGCTGCCCCCTGACTAGTTACTGTATCGCTCTCATATACGTATTCCTGACAATTCTGCCTTTGGGTGCGTTTGTCTTTGGTGTATCTCTAGAAATTTTTAGTGTCTTTTTTAATATCTCCTTCAACTTCTCACCTCTCCACTCCTCCTCACCTCCTCCTCACCACTCCTTCAACCAATTCTCTATATGCCTATCATAAGCTTCCCTAATCAACAGCTTCACAAGTGGTCTGTAATATCTATACAGTTCCTTATTAAATATTTTACCATGTTTTTTATACTGCACAAAGTTTGTTCTTGTTGTTAGTGATAATTTCCGGAGTATACTATGGCGGATATTTGTACCTTTGGTTTGCTACACTATACTTTTTTACTGGCACTACACTACTAATACAGTTATTTAATTTATCATGAATAGATAGATCTATATCAGGTTGATTATACATATCCACCCGATTAACACTAGCTATATTATTGTAAAGTAAATGAAAATCTGCTTTGCGAAAGGATGATGACGGGTTCCGTTGCGGCACACGTAATATGCTGTGCATCGTAGGAAACTCCCGCGAAAGGCTCACAGTGACAAATAGAGGCGGGTGATAATCATCAGGTGGCACTAAAAAGGAGGAGACGGCATCCCAGGCCTCTTCGCTCCACATCATGGCCCAGACTACGGCCGGACGTGAGAGGTTGCCGTCGCCGATCACATCCCTGAGGGCACGGCGGCGCCCAGCCCATGCAGGGCATGTCCCTACAGTGTGTTCCAATGTGTTCTCAGGGCGATCCTCGCAGTGATGCGAATTAGGTATGTCTCACGAACGTTTTAATATACCTGCGGATTATTGGGTAGTTAGGCTAACTTCAGTAATTCCTCGATGTACTCTTTCATGAATCACGATTATAATGCTTGAAACACAAAAACTAGTCAACAATTGATTTAAAAAATCAACAAAATAAACACATCCATTGAAATCCATTTAAGAACTACTTAACAAACATTCTTAGAATAGTTTAAAAAGAAAATTTATACGGCTTTTATAAGCCTTTTATAAAACTTCACTTCTACCTACATCTTCTAAGTGAGTTATTTTAATAACAAAAGCTGCACACAGCTTAAATGCCCACCTGGCTCCAAAGATTTACTATAAAAATATTTTGTGCCTTTAAACCATGTAAAGCGAGGCAAAGCGAATTTTATACACTTAGACTTCAGTGTAAAAATGAATTTTATATCTATGTTCTAATCAAACTGTCTGTATGATATTCTTATTGTTCGAAAACTAGTGTATGTAGGCGTAAAGATGGGTATCAGGTGCGAGCAGACGTTTCGTATGAGAAAATTTCATTTTCTGAATCAAATTTTGGGTCTATACTAGTTAGTATCTTTAATACTGATAGATTTATATGCCTGCAGAATTGATGAATGTCTAACTTTATTCAACACGGCACTAGTTTTATTATAATTATTATCTTGTTGTATTTGTCTATTAGTTATACACAGGAGGACTAAAAGCACAATAAGATTAAATGTGGTCTACTTATGACATGGCGTACCAAAGGACCATAATACAGAAACGACATCTTTAGTAACTTTTCACAAACTTGTCGCATTTGGAGACAGACAAGTATTATTCAGGGACCGGAATATACGTAAGATAGATTGAAATATCAAATCTGCACCTGTTACTCTCTATTCGCTAGTATTGACGTACGTATGCCGGTGAAATATGTATGAGATTGGGTACAAGGAATACAAGTTGAGGATCTGTTTATATCTAGTACAGTTAGCCAAATATTATATTGTACTTTGTATATAAAAATCTACTAGACTGAAAAGCAATTACTTAAGAATGAACAGACAATTTCCATTGAAACTTTCAAACGTAGAACGAAATTGTATACTATACTTTCGCAAATAAAACAAAAGAATAAATTAAAAAGGAATTAATTGCCCAGGGACCAAGAAGCAATAAACGCGAATTGTAATTTAGGTACTAGTAAATCGTTCAAGTATTTTACTAAATTAGTCTACATTTTGATAAAATCGAGCTGAACTTTAACACTGCTTTTGGGTAAACAAAGGCAAATTAATGAGGCAGGTAATAACATCAATTCGATCGTAAATACCAGCCATTGTTACGAAAAGTGCGGATCGCCTGTAGGAACGATCGAAAATGCGTACGGGCCCAATAAAGAACATAAATTTCGTTCACAACAGGGCCAAATATCTCAATTTATTGGTATGCTCTCAAATGGGAGACTTGGGTCCCGTTGGGTTAATGTGGGATCAATACAAGCCCGCATTCATTGTCATTAATGTTAATCTGAGTGGAGTTTGGGCGGCA